TATGAACAGTGAGATGTTTGGGCGCTGAAGTCGCCATAGCCAATTGAGAGTGAACTCGTATCTGAAAGCCATATCTCTGAGTTTTGAGTGGGCGCATGTCGCCAGTATGCTGCGTTGCTGTTTACATGCATGAAAAGTGTGTTTGAGAACGAGTCTGATTGCACATGCTTACCCGGAAGGCTAAACAGTCCCTCCAACAGATCTCTGTACCTTGACTTCTTTTCCCTTTGCTAGGGCCGCCACCAGGGACTAGTGTCCTCCCCATCCTGTCTCGAGACCTTGAAACTCCACCTTCCACCCCTTTTTCTGCCCTATCCAGTTCCCGGATCCACTCCATAGCTGCATCGGTTTTCTTCTCCTTCGCGTCTGCCATCTCTCCATCGAGAGGAGTTTCACAGTCCACACCAGCTGACCACCTGTCACAAACCTCTYCCTCTCCTCCCCCTCCGGTTGGTTTCTCTCGTCCCTCACCTTCCTGTCCAACTTCTCTGTGTTCTTTCTCTCTCAAAATCTCCCTTGTGATCTCTCTCAAGAAGTACACACCATTGCGCCTCAGCCTCGCATCGCTGGCGCTCGCCAGGTCAAAAGATGCCGCAAGCAGAGCCTGAGGCTGTACCTCTAAAACCTTGAGTGCAGTCATTGCAATCAGATTCTGCACCATCTCCGGTCCACTCCCTTCCCTTGAGCTGCGCAAGCGCTCTCTACCACCTCCTTCCAATCCCCCTTCATTTGCCTCCTTCCCTGCTCCCCAACTCTCTCTCCATACTCTTCCTCCCACTTCATCTTCCCCCCTCTGCGCCCCTTGCGCAATCTGCACCTTCCATTCGCTCAGCTGCCGTAGAAGATACCGCGCCACTTCTTTGCAAACAGACATTCCTCCCACAGTGCTCGCAGGACTCTTCGGTGTACCCCTGCGCGACGAACCCACACATGCCGCAGGGGACATAGCAGAAAGGGCCGCCAGCCCTCCGAACCCTGCCTCTGCCGTGAGCGCTCCTATCCCATCATCATCCTGCCCACTCACCACCAACCCAATGCTCCAATCACACAGCTCAAGCAATACCTGTACCCCGGACTCCGATGCAACAGGACAGAGGGGTGCATAACGTGGGATCAGCTCTGCTGCAATCCGTCGAACGCTAGGGCATCCTGTCATCACGGCCAGAAGCACAGAAACACAATACGAGACAGAAAGATGCACATGCGCACTAACACACTCACACGCAAGCAAGCAATTGTGGAGCAGTGTGGTAAACCAAACAAACAAGCAGCACACTAAGGCACGCACAAAAGCATACGCACATGCACACAAACTTGTGCACAACAACCCCACATACACTTCTGCACAACGACCCACATACACACGCACTCACACTGCCATTGCAAGCCACAGCCACAGACACCAGCACAGCCTCCATAAGAATCCAATCATACATGTGCAATTGCTCTCAGCTCTACTGTTTGGTTTCTTTCCTTCCTTTTTCCTTTCCCTCCAAAACTTCTTGCTGCTTGTTTTCCTGTTCTTCTGTGTCATGTCTTCTTTCTTCCCCTTGGCTATCTGCTTCACCGCTTGCGGTAAAAGTGCCGTTCCTTCTACCTTTTTTTTCCCACTTCCTGCAGATCAGTAACACCCATGCGTTCCTTTCTGTGGGGCAGAGGCGACAACACTACAAAGATGGCCCGAGCCAGGATAGTCATGACACGAACCCCAGACGTCCCCTTGCACCCGGAAGGATAAACCCCCCTTTGTTTTCCCTCTAAGAAAATGCAACGGGGGTAGCCCTTACCAATTCTGCATTTGTCAGAAATGTGAACTCAATGATCCACATACTAACAGTTACATGCAGGAACCTGGGCACGTTCACGACCAGGTTCAGGAAACTGCAGGAACCTGGGCATGCTCACGCAGCATGCTGAGTATTCAGCTACAAGTCAGGTGGGATACAAACAAATTTTGATGCTCAAGCAGCATGCAGAGGAAACTGGGCATGTTCACGACCAGGTTCCGGCGTCCTGAACACTCAAAAAATTCGATCTCTGATATGCTTAGAGCCCAACCCCACTAATGATATCTCAGACGACGATAAGAAAGCAGGAACCTGGGCATGTTTACGACCAGGTTCGTGCTTTCTAAGCACAAACATAGCACCCTACACGTCATCTCTTACATACTATGACCCTAGCACTGTCCAGACGAACGGCCATGAAAACATGAGCTGCCTTCTTTTGAATTGTGCCCCCTTATCTTCCCCTGCTTTTCACCTATGTACCCTTTCAAAAGGGCCGCACTTGAGGAATCCTCCCCTCACTCCCATCCTTTTTTCCGACCATTCTCAACTGCATACTAATCAATGCTGCGCATTCCGGTGAGCCTGCGACTGCCTCAAATGTGACACACACTCGACCAGTACGGACCACAGTCCCCGTAGCATCCCATTCATCATTCAGCTATGGGTACCGCTCCTCCACTCAAAGAGGGTTATGAGTCATGCTATCCCTCCTGCGTATTTAGCAGCTATCGCTATTGCTTGCTACCACCATGGATAAAGTGCTGCCAATCGCGTTGGGAGGTCGGCATACTAGGAGGCAGGGAGATTGGAAGCTAGAGAGGTTTGAAGATAGGGAGGTAGGGAGGTAGGGAGGTAGAGACGTACGGAAGTAGGGAGGTAGAGAGGTTTATAAAGGTAGGGAGGTAGGGAGGTAGAGAGGTAGAGAGGTAGAGAGGTAGAGAGGTGGAGAGGTGGGGAGGTTTATAAAGGTAGGAAGGTAGGGAGGTAGAGAGGTAGAGAGGTGGAGAGGTGGAGAGGTAGAGAGGTTTAAAGGTAGGGAGGTAGAGAAGGTAGGGAGGTAGAGAGGTTTCCAGGTAAGGAGGTAGGGAGGCTCATGAAGGACACAGAGCTACAACAGTGCTTATGCGGTAGCTAGAAACTTCGTCAAGCGGGAGACACAGAGAGACAAGAAAGCGATTACCTCACCCTCAACCCACCATGACTCCTCTCCCGGATTCAGTCGGCGAGTACCATCGTCAGAGAAGCTTGGCGTCCGGAGAAGACAGATGGCGGTTCACAGAGATGGGAAGATGTGTGACCTCGGATTAATTAGGTCAGACTAGGACAGCGAGCAAGCCAAAGAGAATTGAAAGGCGGAAAAGAGGGAATAGTCGGGAAACGTATCGATGGATGCAGGGGATAAGCCACCCTCTGCAGCCAGAGGGAGGGTACAACAAAGGGGGAGAGGGAGCTGATCGTTTCTCTGGCAACGTGGAGGGTACAGTAGAAAGGACGAAACGGGGTGAGTGAAATAGGGAGGAGACACAGAAGTTGACCAAGGAGAACGTGTGGAAGGAGAGGAACAGGACCACCCCACCCGCCTTCGACCAAACACAACACCCGCCTGGATTTAAGCCTTTTTTCCCCTTCTCTATTCCCCTATTGGCGTGTGAATAGAAGCTATTTGTCCGGTACGATACAGTCGGGACGAGGGTGCGTTGTGTTCCAGGGGGAGACCGGTAGGGGTAAAGTGCTGTCGAAGGGCAACCCATCGGTTGTAGATGTGTGAGAACAAGAAAAAGCCAATAGGAGAATAGAGAAGGGCAAAAAAGGCAGGCTTAAATACAGGAAGAACAGAGACAAGGAAGAGGCCTGCATTCCACGAGTCGTTAAATGTGAAAAACTGCGATCGAATCTTGCTCTGGAACGCGGCAAGATACATTTCCCATTTTCACAACTGGCGAGTGATGGAGCGAGGTCCAGAGAGCAGGCGAAACGGATTGGGAGAGGAGAAAGAACAGGGCGGAATTCATCCCATCCAAGTGACCAAGCCAGGAGGAAATCAAGAGATGACATTAGCAAAGGAAAAGGGAATATATATGTTACATATATATATTGTCACATTGTGAATCAGAGCGCAGAAGCGAAAAAGAGGGGAAAGAAAAAAGGAAAAGGGAAAAAGGGGAAGGGGAAGAGGTAAGGAAAGCTCCACCTGTTCATAACCTCTTACGTACAAGCCCAGCCACGTGGATGACAGGTTGAGCGCTGGCTGCCCCCATCCCCGTGTGTCACAAGGACCCACTTGCACGCAGCCAAAAGGCAAAGAGGTAAAGAATAGGAGGAGGAAACCAAACATGACAGGGAAAGAAAGATAATCCAATTGTCACAAAGCAATATATCGTCACAGAGTTATCAGAGCGCAAACGCGAAGAAAAGAAGAAAAAAATAAATTCATTTTTTCATCGTCTTCCTTACAAGTCCCCCTGTTCAGAACCTCTTGCGTACAAGGCCGCCCATATATGATGCTCATGGAGACCCCAGAGGACAAAAGGGCGATGAGCGCAGTTGGAGACCGAAGAAGCGGGTGGTGGAAACAAAAACCCAGCTGGAAGGCGAAAGACAAGATGACGTAAGCAAGAGGTAGAGAAGAGAGACGAGGAAACGGAGAAGAGGGAAGAATACAAGAAAGTTGGGGAGAAAGTCGAAAAAAAGGAGAAGATCGAATTCAACAAAGGTGAAAAGGTGAGGTTTAGGGGAGAAGAAGCAGGTGCTAGGACAAAACCCACTGAGAGGGAAAAGCAAAAGATAACATGTAGAACAAAACCCAGCCGGAGGAGGAAGAGGGCAAGATGGAGAAGAAAGAGGGGGAGAAAGGAGAAAAGGGGAGAAGATGAGAAAGAAGGGGAGTTAACTGGAAAGGAAGGAGAAGAGAAAATTAAATAAAGGTGAAAAAAGGCGAGGTTTAGGGAAGATAAAGCAGGCGGTAGACGGAAAAATCCAGAGAGAGGGAGAAGCAGAAGACAAAAAAATGAACCGAGTGAAAGAGGAAAGACGATAAAAAGAATAAGAGGGAAGGACATGGGAGACCAAAAAGGATTCAAGAAAGGTGAAGGGCATATTCGCACTAGCAATTTCCTAAATGTATCCGACTACAATTACGGCCAGACCTGGATGAATCTGACTCCAATGAGGTCCAGAGCGTAGTAGAAAACGTCATATTGTGAGTATGTGCTAAGAGAGAGGACAAAAGGCGAGAGAAAGAGAGGAAGGAGAACAGAACAAGAGAGGAGGGAGGTAGTACTGGCCCGATAAAGCCGCCGGAGTAACGAGACTCGGGGGTGAAAGGTACATAAAGGAAAAGAGGGAAAAGAGGAAGAAAAGGTGTGAGGGGAGAAGAAAGGCGGGCGGGCAAGAAGGGAGGAGAAAAGAGAAGAAGAAGAGTGACAAGCGGCAGAAATGAAAGGAATCGTTAGACGAGCCAAATAGAGGAAGGAGGGAAAAGCATTGGAGGTTAAGAAAGGTGAAAAGGGAGGAGGGGCAGAGGGGAAAAAGAAACGCAGGCACTGAAGGGGATCCAAGAGAAGATAAGAGGGGGGAAAGAAAGAACGAGACAGAGGGAAAGGGGAACGGACGGGAAAGGAAAGGAGAGGATAAACAAGAGGGAGAGGACAGAGGACGAACAAGAGGGAGAGGACAACGAACCGAGAAAGGAATGAAGACCGGAAGGGGAGAATGAAGAGGATGGGTGAAGGGGATCCAAGAGAAGATAAGAGGGGGAGACGGACGAGACTAGAGCAAGGAAGAGGAGGCGTGACGAAAAGAACAAGCAGGGGGGGAGGAAGCGGGAGGATGACTTGGACAAGGAAGAGGAAGAAGAAGAAGCAGGAGTATGAAATGGAGGGAAGACGATGAAGCGGGAGAAGAACAAAACGGGAAGAGATTGAAGACGAAAAAAGAGGAAGAAGCGGGAGAAGGACGCCGAAGTCGAAGAAGGACGGCAGAGGGCGAAGCGGGCAAAGGGGAAACCGGAAGGAAGGAGAAACGGGAGAAGGGAGAATCGTAGAAAGGACAACCGGGAGAAAGGAGAACCGGAGGAGGGAGAACAGGGAGAAACAGGGCGAAGCAGGAGAGGGAGGCCGAAGCGGGAGAGGGGGTGAGCGAAGCGGGAGGGGAAGAGGACGGCAAAGCGGGAGAAGGTGGGCGAAGCGGGAGGAGCGGGGCGAAGCGGGAGGAGACGGGCGAAGCGGGAGGAAGGGGGCGAGGAGGGCGAACGGGAGGAGAGGGCGAAGCGGGAGGAGCAGGGTAAAGCCGGAGTAGGGTGAAGCACAAGCAGGGCGGTGAAGCACAAGGAGGAGGGAGGAGGGGAGGTGGGAGGAGTGCCAAGAAGGTGAAGGAGAAAAGGGGCCTTTCCGTTGAGGGGGAGGGTGGCGAGCAGATAGAACAGAGAGAAAAGATGGGCAATCAAGAGCGAACGAAGACAAGCAGGTAAGGGAAAACAGAAATGGCAGCAGCGAGGGCGAGGAAGCGGAGAAGGAGCAGAAGGAGAACGTGAGAACAAGGGGAGAAATAGGAGGAAAAAAGGCGGTGAGGAGTGGGAGACCAGGAAGGGACGAAAGAAGAATGGGAGGAGACGATAGGGGGAGGAGACAAAGACGGAGGAAGGACGAGGGGGAGCAACCAAAAGAAGAAAAAGGAGAAAGGGGGAGGGAGAAGGCGGAACGGGAGGAGGAGAACGGGGGAGGGAGAAGGCGGAACGGGAGGAGGAGAACGGGGGAGGGAGAAGGCGGAACGGGAGGAGGAGAAAGGGGAGGAGGAAGGACGGGGGCGAAGGAGGAGGAGGGAAGGGGGAGGTGGAGAGAGATGTCAAAGGAGGGAAGGAGGAGAAAGGGGAGAAGAAAGGGGAGGAGGAAGTTGGAAGGGGAAAGGGAGGACGGAAAGGAGAACCGGAGGAAAGGGGAGGCAGGGGGAAAAGGCACAAGGAATAACCGCGAAGAGGACAAAAGGCGAGGAGGAGGAAGAGTGAAGAGGGGATTCGAAGACGATGACGCACGGACGAAACGCGAGGAAGAAGAATCAGAGGAAGGCGCTAGGGGGCATACGGAGAACTAACCACGAGGAGGACGAGGCATGGACAGGACAGCCGAGGAGAGAGCACGAAGAGGACAAAGAGCGAGAAGAGAGCATGGAAGAGGAAGCGCGGAAGAAATGCGAGACGAAGGCGCTACGGGAACGCGGGAGGACAAACTGGGAGAGCAAGACGCGGGAGGAGAACCGGGGAGGACGTGGGAGGGGGAGGGCGCCAGGATGAGACGCGGGGGGAGGAGAGGAGGAGGAAGTGACGGGGGAAGGCTTTGCGAGGACGAGGAAGCCGGCGGGGGAGGAGGCCGGAAGGAAAGAAGGCCGCGGGAGGAGGATTGAAGAGGAAGAGGTCGGAGGAGGAGGAGGAGGACGGAAGGGGAGGAGGCTGGAGGGGTAGGAGGGTTAGGAGGGAGGGAGGACGCAGAGGGGGAAGCTTGAAGGGAAGGAAAAGGAGGAGGCTGGAGGGGGAGGACGCACGAGCCAAAGGAGGAGATGCCAAAACCAAAGAAGGACGAACCCCAAGCAGAAGAGGGAGGAGGCTCAGGTCGGAGAGGGAGGAGGCCCGGGCTGGAGAGGGAGGAAGCCCACGCCGGAGAGAGAGGCGGCCCAGACGGCAGGGAAAGAAAGTCGAGGCCTCAGAAGAGCAAGTAGAACCGGAAGGGGAGCTAGCTGAAGCCGATCGGGGAGGACACCGACGCTGAACGAGAAAGAATCCAGAGTCGAGGAGAGAGGAAGCCGAAGCCCTACCTCTCCGCTTCCTTCACCGAAGCCGAAAGGGAAGGAAGCGGAAGCTGGAGCGGAGGGCGCCAGGAGGCGGACGGGAGGCGGAAAGCCAGAGGGAGATGGGGCGGGAGCCGGAAGGGGAGGGATCGGCAGCCGGAAGGGAAGGGATTGGGCGCCAGAAGGGAAAGATCGGGAGCCGGAAGGGGAGAAGCCAGAGACAGAAGGATGGACCGCGGGAGAAAAGAGGAGGGACCAGGAGCCCGAGGGAGGAGAAGACGCGGGGCGGAAGGGGGGGGGAATGCGGAGGGCGGGGGGCGCAGCACGGAGGCGCAGCACGGAGGCGCAGCACGGAGGCGCAGCACGGAGGCGGAGCAGGGAGGCAAAGCAGGGAGGCAAAGCAGGGAGGCGGAGGAGGGAGGCAAAGGGGAGGGAGGGGGAGAGAGGGACAGGGTGATGGGGATGAGAGGGGGAGAGGCGGAGGAGGAAGGGCGGGGGAAAAGAGCAGTGGCGGAGGCGACGAAGAGGGATCAATACTCGGACGACGGGGAAGCACCGGGGAAAGAAACAAAAGGCCAGGTAGGGGGGGAAAGGGAAAACGAAGGAGAGAGAGGAAGGGAGGGAGAAGGGAGGGAGAATCCGGCAGATGGAGAGAAAAGGGCGGTAAGGTCCGGAAGAAACGTCAAAAGACAGAGAGGGAAGGAGAAGCCAACGATAATTGGCATAAGAATAAACCTACCATGCAACGCTGCTTCGCCCATAGCTAAGAACGACTCTTCTACTTCGCGAGGACTTCCCATGACACCATCTCTTCTCCTCGCCAAGCCCTTTTTCAGACGCATGTAGACCCTGTAAAGTGCTTTTATCTCCTCCGTGTTACTCTCCTTCTCCGCATGTCTTTGTCGCCCGCACTCTCGTGAGCGTCCGCCCTTAACCCCTTGCTCATCCCCCATTGCACTTGACGTGGCCACTGCCCCAGGTGGAGGATTTCCAGTCCTTGCGTCTGAAACCGATATTCCTCGTTTCCCCGCCGTCAGCCTCTGACTAGAGGAGCTCTGAGGGCCATCCAACGCTGCTGCTTCGCCAGTCCTTCCAGATTCCTCAGCCTCCATCGTCCCCGTTCGAGCCTCCGCCTCCTCCTCCTCCTCCTCCTCCTCTTTCCGCTGCTTCTGTGGCTTTTCTTTCCCCATCTCTTTCTCACCCTGCCGTTCAGGTGAGCGAGAATCAGGTCGCTGCTGATGACTAGGAGGAGATGAAATGGACGGAGGGGACTGATGCCGATGATCTTGACCTTCAAGGCGTGAACGTTGCTTATCGTGAGATGAATGCTGCTGACGTGGATGGGGAGGACACGTACGAATCTGCTCGCTGATTGTATTTCTCCCAATGAAGGAAGGAACGTGTGACCGTTGGTTCTCAGCACTGGAACGCTGCCGTGCGCGTGGAAAAGACTGATCGTGCCCGTCACGAGTCTTATGCTCTGTGGTGGGGGGAGGGAGAGAGTGGTGGGCTAGCTGATTAGCCTCACGGCTTGACAGCTCAGTCCGAAGGTGACAGCGCTGGCGCGCAGTCGCACAGGCAGGATCTTGTTCTTCGCGCTGCGCTCCGTCCCTAGTAGAGAGAGATTGGGTGCGATTGACTTGTAGAGAATGAGCATCGCTAGCAGGATTAGTTCTTATTAGAGGAGAAGCCGAGGAAACGACTCTATTCTCATCAACTGAGAGCGCAGACTGCGGGCTCTCTCTGCCATTGTCATTCTTTTTGTCATCTTCGCCTTCATTCCCGCCTACGGGGCCGTCGCCGCTCATTGCTATGTCCTTGTCAGCCGGGCTCTTTGTTCTTTCTCCCTCGCTTTCTCCATTTTCCACCGTGGCGTTTCCCTTGTCAACATCATTACTTGTTCTTGCTCCCTCTCCCACTTCCTCCGCCTTTGCCCCTGCCACTGCTTTTGACAGAGGATGATCGCTGCCCGCTAAATGGCTGCTGCTGCTGCTGGAGCAGTCCGTCTTCATAGCAGGCTCCGCCCGAACTCCCGCTAAACCCCCACTGCCATCGCTGCCCGCGCTACTTCCCACATCCCGAACCCCAGAGCTTCCTCCAGCATCACGGACCGCAGAGCTACCTCCAGCATCACGGACCCCAGAGATAACCTCAGTGGCAGCGGAAGGACAAACCGCGCCGCCGGATGGAACCGCAATTGGCGCCGCGGCCGGCTCGAGAGAGAGAAACTCCTGTCGTCGCCGCTTCTTCAATGGTGGCTCGAAAGTCAACAATCCCCCTCCTCCTCCTCCTCCTCCTCCTCCCGGCCCCCTGGACAGCGACTCCCCGCCAACCACCGGTGGCTTCGCCTTCGATGCCATCGCTGCCAACGTGCCGCCATCCCCACCCTCCACTCGCTCCATTCGCAGAACAAGACGCCTGCCTAAGCCCTCATTCACGCTTCCCTTCTGCCACCACCTCCCAGTGCCGTTGCTGGGAGGGCCCACGACGCAGTCTGGCGAGAAAAAGCAGAAAGAGAGGAGGGCACGAGGTCGGAGAACGGAAAGAGACGGGACAAGAGCGCCAAACTGAAGAAGAAAGGGATGGAGGAAGCGACGAGAGAGAAAAAAGAAGAGATTGAACTACCAGAAAGGCTGGACAAACCACACTGGACAGTAGCAGAAATACAAAAGGGTTTGGGCGGGAGAAATCTGAAACGGTGGCGCAAGCGACAAGGTCAGTCAAAGAATTACTTCCCCGAAGCAGCCACCATGCCCGCTGACCAAATCTTCCTCCCCTTCCTTTTCTGTTGACGCCCCTCCCCCCGCGCAGCTCTGGTCGCTTTCCTCCATGATCATTTCCTCCAAAGATAGCTGACACGTGTGATAGCCAGGTCAAAGAAAATGCTGACGAGGACGCCGCGACTAACGCCATCTCTGACCGAGCAGGCCCGCAAACCCCATCGAGCAAAACGCCTCACAGTTACAGATGGTGCTGTCTCCATGACCACGACAACCACCCACCTCCTCCATCATGCTTCATATCCTGCTCCTTCTGCAGTCAACCCCCGCGAGGCCTTTCACATTCCTGTCTTGTCGCTGCATATATCTCCCCCCCCGCTACCAGATAATAGTATCAACGCCCAGGAATGCTTCATTGCGATCACGGCGTACACCGAAAGCGGGCTACACGATCGGGCCGTCAAAACAACAGTGCAACAAGGACAAAAAGGTGGATGTCCAAACCATCGCCTGGCCCCGCCCCGCCCGGCCCCGCCCCCCCCCCCCCCCCCCCCCTGCAATCCTTCGCCCAGGCCGGCTATGAGCGGGCCGAGCCGGCGATCCTGCAGCCGGCCGAGCCGT